GACACTGAGCCAGAGAAGGCCACTGGAGCGTGGAGACATTCCTTTTGCTCAAAGGGGACAGTCCGCCTCCGGACTTTAAGAGCTGTGAAAAGTCCTTGAATCTGAATATGAGGAGTTAGCCAAATACTACGGAGTCAGGGAGCTCAGCTCGGAATATGCTGATACAGCTCAGAGTTAACAACTACAGGAAGAAGTAAGACTTGGACACGAAGAAACTCAACCCAAGCAACCAGACATCAACCAGCACCTGACAGGCTTCAGGAGCCTAATGAGATACTTTGTTTTTCCTCCTCAAAGACAAGATCAGTGTGAGCTTAACCTGCAACATAATCAGGAACCGAAACTTGCACTCGCAGAGGAATGTGCCACGGTCTGCATTTTAGAAACTCTTAAATGATCTAAAAGTGAAGGCGCCAGAATTAAAACCCTTTGCCATACACACAGCCTTAAAATGTCAAACACACAGATTTGCATACACCAAGCCCAAAAAGACAACAAGCCTTGAGTTGATTCCCACTAAGATTCCCTTCAGCCATAAATCCACAATTCTGCCCCAGTCCTGATGTTTTCTTGCCGAGGAGAAGAACGCATCACAATTGAAGTAATGTTTGGCTTTCCATGCTGCTGTGAGCAGCTCTTTTCAAAGTGTTCTCTTGCGAGGCCTCATCTGCATGTCAAATTAACAGATGCGGATTTGGAAAACCCAGCTCAGAGAAGCAATATCCACCCAGCCGGCAGATACGGGTGCTAAGAAAGAAAACAAACTCAATCGCAGCCATCACGTTACAAAAACGCCACCAGTCGATCAACACACGCACGCGACCTAACTACGAAGGAGGGATACCGCGTTTCCAACAGGTACGCAAAAATCACACCAGCAAACGGACGTCGTGTCCTCTCGAGCAGTTCTCCGGAGTCCATTTGGGAAAACATTTCACCACGTATCTTTGGGACCCTTCTCTTGAAAAATTTTGTAAGGGACAGTTGAGGCAAAGATATTAGTGTCTTTTCCTCTCTTTCTTCCGGCTGTTGCCGTGGGTGTGACTGTTAACGCTAAGCAAGTATCACACAGCTCCATAACCCAACCCCCTCACCAGCTTTGGCTCTGCGTGATCGGTGTTAAAATTCAAGTATCCAATTGCATGTCCAAAGGAGAGTCAAGAGAATATGTCTCAGACTCTGAAAGAACAGTCCCCAAAGAGTTTCACCAATGTGTGGTGCAACACATGCTTCCTTGGAGCAAGGGCACGGCTCCAAAGACCATTATGCTAAAGGGATGTGGACTCATCTGGAATTTGACGCCCTGGCACGACTGCTTAAAAGGGAACCAGTTACTTCCCCATAGGGCAGCAAGGCTCAAACTTGGCTGCGCAGTGGAAGCACCTGAGGACCTTTACAAAGTGCTGGAGGTCTTGTCCCCAGGTTGCTCTGCCGTTCCCTGCCTCGTGAAACATTCGTCTCGTTCTCTCTAGCCCCAGGTATGGTAATTGGGAGATAGGAGCCACTCGGTGTACGTTTGAGGAGTGGCGAATAGGAATAGGTAGGCCGTGCCCATGCGCCATGCTGGGCGACCGACAGTTCTGATCTGCCTGGAACAGGGAATCTTCTCTGGATGTGAGACTTCCAGCGCTAAAACCAGAACGGCCGAGGGAAAACCAGGATGGTTGGTCATCCTAGTGCCAGATACTACGCTAAATACTTGCAAAGATTACTTCTTTTTCTTTTAAGCTCATTTATTTAGTGGGGCACCTGGGTGGCTCAGTCGGTTAAGCATCCGACTCTTGATCTGGGCTCAGGTCATGATCTCACAAGTTCGTGAGATCAAGCCCTGCGTGGATTCTCTCCCTCTTGGGATTCTCTGCCTTCCTCTTTCTCTCTCTCTCTCTGTTCCTTCTCCATTTGTGCAGTCTCTCAAAATAAACTTAAAAATATTTTTAAAAAGTTTGTTTATTCTGAGAGAGCGTAAGCAGGGGAGGGGCAGAGAGAGAGGATCCCAACCAGGTTCCATGCTGTCAGCACAGAGCCCGACGCAGGGCTCGAATTCGTTAACCATGAGATCATGACCTCAGCCAAAATCAAGAGTCGGACGCTTAACTGACTGAGCCACCCAGGCGCCCCACAAAGATTACTTCTTAATTCTGTCAACAACCTTATGAGACGGATGCTATCATGAACCCCATTTTACAGGCGAGGGAACTAAAGCTCAGAGCTGGTGAGCTTCCTGACACACAGTAAGTCATAGACTTGTGAGCAGACGCAAGGCAGCCTGAATCCAGAGTCCACATGCTTAATCATTACGCCCTATTTCCTTCCACTAACGTTGTGATGGTTGTTTTTTCGTGGTTTTTTTGTTTGTTTGTTTGTTTTTTTGGCTTCATTTGTTGCTTTAGCGTGTTGTCTCCCTGTGTGATGTTGTTTTTTCTGGGTAAGTGCCCTTGACAGTTAAAAGGTTTGTCACTCTTCACCAGCATGGCGTTTTCCAGCGCGGAGACGTCTAAGCTCGTCCGTCCAAAACCGTAGAGGAAACCCGGCAGGAATCTCAGTGAGGGAACCAGAAAGTGAGTCATGGAACTGGAGTAAGGGAGGGGACCCATCTCAGCTGGTGCATCAGCAGACACGGGACATTGAGAACCAGCTTGTTCTCCTGGTTGGAGCCACCGACGCTGAGCAGAGGACCAGGGACAGACCCCTGGTACACTTCTCCATCAAGGTAGGAGTCGTGCGAAACTCGTGTGTGCACAATGTGAGCACGTGTGAATGGGGTCATTCGTCCTATAATTGTTTTAAGTAAAGACCCCTTATCATGAGGGGTCTGAGCATTACTAAGCAGAGAGAGAAAGAAATCCTTCACCTCAAAACCTTCCTTTCTTTTTTTAATATTTATTTTTGAAAGAGACAGAGTGGGAGTGGCGGGGTGCAGAGAGAGAGGGAGACACAGAATCTGAAGCAGGTTCCAGGCTTTGAGCCGTCAGCACAAAGCCTGACACGGGGCTCGAACTCACAAACCATGAGATCATGACCTGAGCCGCAGTCAGATGCTTAACTGACTGAGCCACCCAGGCGCCCCTCAAATCCTTCCTTTGGTCTTCCAAAGTGCCTTCCAAAATTATTTCAAAATGCTCCCAGCCACTTTTAAACCAAAAGAACACGAGTCTGTGGGTATTTAGAATACTAGTGGCTTTGTAAAATACCTTGTGATTTTTATCACATACAGTTCGGGGACACAGAACTTTGAGACTTTTTTTATTTTAAAGTTTATCTATTTGAGAGGGAGGGAGACAGAGGGAGAATCCCAAGGAGGCTCTGAGCTGTTGACACAGAACCCGACACAGGGCTCGATCTCATAAACCGTGATATCATGACCTGAGCCGAAATCAAGAGTCGGACGCTCAACCGACTGAGCCCCCCGGGCGCCTCTAGGCTTCTGTTTTTAAGGCACGGTGTTTGTACAACCTTTGGTCATCTCATACGGGGCTCTGCTCACATCAGCACCAGGTTCTAACCAGCCGATCTAAG